GATCGGAGCCTGGCCCCCCTCTGCGGCGCCTCCGGCGCTCCGTCCCCGGCGCGGCCTGCGCGCCCGGCCTTTTCGCGGGCCTTCGGCCGATGATGCTTCTGCCTCCGCTCTCCCTCTGGAGAAGCCACCTGCCCTCTCTGAGAACCCCCCCCGTCCCTTTCGTAAGCAGCAGGCGGCCGCCCCCACGGCGCCTCCCCCCTCTCGCCACTCACCAAACCGCCCCAACCCAACCCGAAGGCCTCCGTCTGCCCTCCGTTTCCAGTGGGGGGGGCGGGGTCGGGGAACACCGACAGTAACACATGGAACCCGTACCACCCCCCCGACCCGAAATTCGGGTCAGCTTCGGATCTTCGAGTCTTCGGGTTGGGGTGGGCTGGTAGGCAGCCCCCCCCCCGCCCCCCGTGCCTGTGCGCCGCCGCAGGAGCCGCGGCGCAGCCGGGCCGCCGCTCTGCCGCCGCCTCCGGGGCCCGGCGGCGCCCCGGCCACGGCGCGGTGACGTCGGGCCCCGCCCCCCCCCGTGAGTCGGAGGGCGGCGGGTGCGGGCGGTGTTTCGACCCGGCGCGGCGACATCGAGCCGCCATCGGCTCGTTCGTCTGGGCCTCCCTCTCTCAGGAGGGGAAAAAACACACAGACACAATTGATCCTCGATTCCCCAGAAAATATGGGAAAATATGGGAAGTGGGAGGGAAGACAAAAACCCAGAAAGCATGGGGAAAATATAGGGAATATTTTTATTTGTGTGTATTTATTTGTGTGTCCTGGGGCCGCTTCACTCTCCCCTGCCTTCCGAGTCTCCCTCCATCCCATCGCCAGCGCGCCCAGGGGGCCCAGGGCAGAGGGGACGGGCCTCCTCGGGAGGCGGCGGGGCTGCTCAGAAGCCCTCGTGCCCGTGTCGGCGTCTTCGGAGGATGCTGAGAGCGCTTCCCAGGAGGCCAGAGGCCTCCCGCGCCTTCCGAGAAGGCTCGCCCCCTCTGCCTCCACTGGGCGCGCCGCCAAGAGGAGGAACGTGCTGGGCCACGAGGGAAGCGGGCTCCAGACCCCGGGCGTTTCCCCGGACCCGCTCTTTTGATCCTGTGACGGTCCCTTGGCCCGTGGAGGGCCCGAGGGGCGCGAACTCGGCGAACAAGTTCCAACACGCTTCTCCTCCAGGACCTGCTCGTTTGCTGCGAATGGCGCTTCCGATGTCCACCTCCCTCGGGAAAGGCCTCCATCCGTCCTTCGCCCGCATCCCTGGCGCAATCGGGCGCGGGCATTCTAGGCTGTGGCGGTGGCATATGCCCTCGGCGCCCACAGCAGCTGCTCCGCGCCCCCGAGAAAAAGGAGAGCGGCGCCGCCTGGCGGCGTGCAGCTCGCGTGACTATTGGTATCCTTCTCGGGTCTGCTTTTGTCAGGAGGGAAACAAAAACACACACAGACACAATTCATCGTCGATTCCCTGGAAAATTAGGAAAAATATGGGAAGTGGGGGGAAGACAGAAGCCCAGAAAATATAGGAAATTATTGGGAATCCTGTTATTTGTGTCTATTTACTTGTGTCCCAGGGCCCCTTCATTTTGCAGCTGGCTGGGGGGGCTGAGGTGGCCCTGCGCTGGTTCCGGCCAGCAGGACCGGGTGAGAAAGGGCCCCTCCGTCGCCACGGCTGGGCGCGGCCCGAAGAGCCGGTCAGTTTCGACCCTGGGAGGGGTCTGGGGACCGACTTTGAGCGGATCTGGTCTGCCCAGGGCCATTCCAGTGCAGACCCCCCGGCCGCTTCCAATTCCAGCTTACTTCTGTCAAAGGAGGAGGAGGAGGAGGAGGAGGAGGAGGAGGAGGAGGAGGAGGAGGAGGAGGAGGAGGATGAGATGCTTGGTCCCAAACCGGGAAGCAAGCAGTACACTCTCCCGTCCCGAGTCTCCGCCTCATAAGTCCCTGCAAGCATTCTTCTTCATTGCGGGAGACGCTCCCATGAAAGACGGGCGCCCCATGTGCTTGCCATTCAGGCAACAGCTCCTTTAGGTACATGGATCTGCTCCTCCTCCTCCTCCTCCTCGTCCTCCTCTTTGTCCTCCTTCACTTTATCCTCCTTTCCTCCTCCTCCTCCTTCTCCTCCTCCTTCTCCTCGTCATCCTCCTCTTCCTCATCATCCTCCTCCATCCCTTTTCCTTATCCATAACTTCTCCCTGTCGCCCCCGAGGCAAGTTTTTAGGGCGGGCCGGGCGTTTCGCCTGAGATTTCCTCACCTAAAAATTGGCAACATTTTTCTCAGATGAAGGGCGGGTCGTTTTCAATATGTGGCTCTCGCCTTAGCTCGGCGCGCATTTGTTAAAAAAGGTTACAAGAGCTTCACGGATTGAGGGCGGGTCGCTTTCAACATGTGGCTCTCGCCTTAGCGCGGCGCACATTCGTTTTAAACACTTGCAAGCGTTCCACGGGTTGAAGGCGAGTGGTTTTCCAACTGTGGTTCTCGCCTTAGCGCGGCGCAAATTCGTTTTAAACATGTGCAAGCGTTTCACGGGTTGAAGGCGAGTAGTTTTCCAGCTGTGGTTCTCGAACTAGCGCGGCGCACATTCGTTGAAACAAATGACGAGTTTCAAGGATTGAGGGCAGTTCCTTTTCAACATGTGGCTCTCGCCCTAGCGCCGTGCACATTCGTTTACACAATGTTCAAGTGTTTCACGGGTTCCCATCATCCACGTACCAGAAATGGTGTTTTGGAAGGATTCAGGATTACAGGGGTGCAACAGTTCCGTGTTTCTTTACGTTGAAGTCCTAGGTATGGCGTTTTGGCACGATTCAGGATCGTCAAGACGCAACAATCAGGTAGATCCATGGCGTTGGAATCCCGAGAACAATGTTTTGGCATGCGTCAGGGTCATCTTCAAACGGGTGTCTTCCGACGAGGCAGTTCCTTCAATGGAAATGAACCGTTGTAGGGGCCTCTCAAATGGGAGCTTGGATGGAGGATTCACTCCAACATCGTGGATGACTCTTGGGTTTACACTAGTCCTCCTCCTCCTCCTCTTCCTCCTCTCCCTCATCCCCCTCGTTATTCCCCGCCTTTCCTCAATCGGCAGGCGCGCGAGGGGACATGTGATTCGCTCCTGGGCCTGCGCAGGCTGATCCAAGACTTCCGTTTGACGGCTTCCCCAGCTTTTGATCCATTGCATGTTCCTCCGCTTCCCTGATCAAGGCAGCCCGTCGTTTGTGAATGGGCTGGTGGGCATACGCTAAGCATGAATGATTAAGACTGGTCCGAAGTGGACCTGCTCGCTTTGTTCGAGGCAGCTTCCATCGTCTCAGGTGCTGGAGGCTTGCAAGGACCCTTGCCCCTGCCTTTCGGCAGGTGAGGGACCTTTCGGTTATGGGATGGTTCGGGCCAGTGATAGCTCTGAAGGCCATTGCGGCGCTGAGAGTGATCTCTCGGCGGCCTTCGACCGGGTGGACCACGACCTGGCCTTGGAAGCGGCTGACCATTCAGCCGTACCATACGCTGTCATGTACACATGTTGCGCCATTTGGAAGGGCCCAAGGATCTGTTGTATCCAGGGCGAGCTAGCCCCACCACTGGACCCGTGCAGAGACCTACCTCAGGGCGACAGCTCGGCTCCATGTGTGCTCATATCGACACTGGTGCCATGGGTACCGACGTCGCAGGGACACGCCTTCATGGATGATAGAAGTTTGGTTGCGCAGAATGCCGATGACCTTGACACGGATTTGCAGATTACCCAGCAGTTCGACACGTCAATCGGATATTGTGAGATTCGGAGCAAGAGGCAACGCTGGAGTATCGATGACCCTGTACCTGTCCAAGTGGAACACCTCGGTATTCTTGCAACTCCCACATATCACACCGCCCCCATCATCTCGATGGGGCCGCTGGCAGAAGCTGGAGACCGCCATATCTGTGCGAGGGGCCATCCCTAGCAGTTATCAAGTACGACTCAGACTGGCCTTCGCATATGTGAGGCCTTTGCGGACGTGGGCGTTGCCTATTGTGACGCCACCACTAAGACGCTTCGCAAGGTTATTCTGCAGAGCTCTGTGGAGAACGAGTTCGAGCTGGTGGTGTTTCGGTCGCTACTGGGCACAGAATATCTGGTTTCATCCTGAGTATTCCGCAGCCATTCTGGGATTTCAAAAGCTGATTGGTGAGAGATTGGTATGGAGTGATTTCCTGGACACTACCCTCTCAGAGTACGCACGGGTATTGGGACTATCCTTTACCCGATTCTCGCCCACCCAGGGCGCTATTCTTCAAGTGGTTTCGCATGATGACTTCAGGGTCAGAGATGCAGTCGAGCAGCTCGTGGGCGACGACTGGAGGTTCACCACCAACAGCGAGGCCGCCCTGCATGCTCTCAGAAGTATCGGCCGCATCCGTTGTCTCCAACAAGTGGTGCGCACGAGGTTCGACGCAGAGGAAATTGATGATGTTGATGTCCACGCGTCCTCAAGCAAAGTATACGACAAATGGTTCCGGTCCTTGGGGGAGGAAGACCGCGCGCTTCTGGCGGTCTTCAGATCGGGAGCCGTGACCTCAGAGACCCGTCGAAGATCAGGATATTCGTGCAAGAATTGCGGGGCTCCGACCCCCAGTTTCCGCCACGCCTTCGCTGAGTGCCCACGACACGCACGAGAGCGAAGGGTTCTTGAAGACCGTTTCTCGCTCCCCTCAGCATTCTGGACAAGTGTGCCGAGGGTCACGAGCAAGAGTGGTTAGATTGTTCTATCTCAAGACGGTTGTCCACATGTAAGTGCGAGGATGCTTACTGCGAGCTGTGCTTCGGGCCTCAGCACCCTCAAGAAGGGCAAGGAAGACATGCTGACCGATGCCACGCCCATCCCAAGGACGAGGCGACCACCGGCATGGACAGTGCAATGACTCAACATGTATGAGATCATCCCTTACGTGACAGGATATTTCATGTCAACTTTTCTCTCTGGGGGAGCTTAACGTCACTACAATCATCGTCGTTTCTGGCCTATGCACTCTGGTATTATTTCTGCTCCTGCTGTGGTCATTCGGTCACGGTTGACCCGAGGCAGTTAATTGAAGAACGCATCCCCCTCGCAAAGAAGGGACGGGAGAACCTCCAGCGCATCAGGTGAGGTCTCTTCCCTGGCCATAGTGGCCCAGAGGCCCCCGTCTTAGAGGCTGCCGCCAGCCGAGTACGGCGCGATCAGTCGTGGCGCATGGCGTCTGGCGCTGTGTACGCTGCGTAGTGTCCTCTGCCATTGAGACTCTGGCGCGCAGGACACTCCAGGACGCTCCCTCCCTCCCTCCCCCCCTTGCACCTTTGCCTCCCCGTGCCCCCTTGCTGCTCTCTTCCCCCCCTCCCTTGCCCTTCCCTGCCTCCCCCCCTTGCTTCGCTCGCCGCCGTGCCTCCCAACGGCGCTCCGGCGGGACAGGAGTGCTGCCGCAACCGATCTTGAGCTTCAAAGTACCACGCCTGCGGTCCCTACAGCACTGGAGGGGCCCCAGATGGCGCTGCGGAGCTTAACGCTTCCACCGGCTGAGTCGATCCGATCCCCTCCCCCCTTCTTTGCCCTGGACCCAGCCCCCCTCGCTCTCCCCCCCTGCCCCCCCCCCTGGCCTCCCTGGTCCCCCCTGCCCCCCTGGGCCCAGCCCTCCCCCCTGCCCTTGCCCTGGGCCCAGCCCCCATACGCCCTCCCCCCTGGCCTCCCTGGCCCGCTCGTTCGTCCTCTCCCCTCTTCCTCCGTGGCTCGAGAGGCCGAGAGCGCACCCGGCACCATCCGCACCCTCGCGCGCACCTGCGCCACGCGCGGGCGCCTCAGACCCGCCTCCCGCGGCAGCCGCCGCCGCTCCAGCTTCCCGCTCCCCGCTCCCCGCTTTGCTGCTCTGCTGCTCAGCTGCTGCCGCCCGCTTCTCCCCCTCCTCCTCCTCCTCCTCCTCCTCTCCTCCTCCTCTCCTCCTCCTCCTCCTCCTCCCTCCTCCTCCTCCTCCTCCTCCTCCTCCTCCTCCTCCTCCTCCTCCTCCTCCTCCTCCTCCTCCTCCTCCTCCTCCTCCTCCTTCTCCTCCTCCTCCCTCCTCTTCCTCATTCATTCATTCATTCATTCATCGATGAGGCGGACGGTTAGAAGCCTACACAGAACAGGATGAGAGAGCAAACGGGGAGTGGGATGAGAGAGCATATCATATGAAGAGGTGAGATGCTGAGTCACACGGTGGTGCCACCTGTGTTACTGCCATGGGCGCGCGAGCATAGGACAAGGACGGGCAAGACAATTCAGAAAAGCGGAGCCTTCACACAGGAGGCGATGGTACTGCCAGCGGCGCGCTGCACTCCGAAGTGCAGCACCCGCACGTTACTACTTTTTAGCGTGAGTGGAACACGAGCGCCAGCCAGCTAGGCTGGGGCACACCTTCACGTGCGGGCCCTTCCCAAGGCTGAGCTACAGTCCAGCGACGGAGAGAGATTGTTAGCCCTGGGTCCTTGACGTCACAGTGCCCACAGATTGGTGGTTGGTGGTCGCCTGCGAGGAAAGATAATGGAGTCGGTGATAGATTGGCGCTCAGTATAGGGGTCAAGGGGAGCATAGAACCCACGGAGACCAATCGGGAGATCCCAATTATCATCGACTAAACGGAGGTCCAGCCGTCTACGGAGCCTCCTCCTCCTCCTCCTCCTCCTCCTCCTCCTCCTCCTCGTCCTCCTACGGACAGACCAGACGACAACGAGGTCGTAGAGATTACATGACGTGCAACACGCCACAAAAAGAGAGGACCGCACAAACACGTCGGCCTGGGAGATCACCTTCGGATGGTTGCCGCCGACCCGTACGGGTGCAAAGGCGCAAGGAAAGGGGTAGCGTCATCGTCGGATTCTCATTGGGACGGAGTGGCCTGTGCACCCATGGCCTCAATTACCCTCTCGGCAACGGCATGGCAGACGGATGAAGGCCACACCCCTGCGGTCGGGACGATCCTCTGCTCTGAGTTTGCTACCTGCAATGCCTGCACAGCATTCAAGAGTTTCATGTATTCAGGGCGTTCTTCAAAATGTGGCCCTCGCCTCAGCGCCGCGCACATTCGTCTCAAACATATGCGAGAGTTTCACGGCTTCAGTTGCTTTTCAACATGTGGTTCTCGCTTTCGCGCCGCGCACATTCGTTTAAACTATTTGGGCGAGCTTCATCTATTGAGGGGCGGTTGTTTTCCAAAATGTGGTTCTCGCTTTCGCGCCGCGCACATTCGTATTGGACACATGCTTTTGGAAGGATTCAGGCTGCACCCTTTACGTTGGTTCGCGGTGCTGAAGTCCCAGGAATTGCGTTCTGGCGCGATTCATGGTCGCCAAGACGCAACAGTCAGGTTAATCCGTGGTTTTGGAATCCAGAGAACAATATTTGGGCATGCTTCAGGGTCTTCACACAGTCTATCAGTGGAAAAGAACTGTTGTAGGGGCCTATGAAGAGGGAGCTTGGTGGGAGGGTGTGTTCCAACGTCGTTGATGACTCTTGCGTTTACACTGGTCCTCCTCCTCCTCCTCCTCCGCCTCGTCCTCCACATTGCTAGATCAGATCCCCTTCGTCCTCCGAAATCCTGCGCCCTCCTCGTCCTCCACCTCATCTCGCGTCTCCCCCTCTTCCTGCTGTCTCCTCTTCTTGTCCCTCCTTCTCCTCCCTCCTTTTCCTCCTCTTTCTGTTCCTCCTGCTCCTCCCTCCCTACGCAGGTCTTTCTCGCAGGCGGGGGCGGAGAAAGGCCAACGAAACCTGGGTGCCATTCCGCTCCCCATGCTGTCGTGCTCGCCCACCGGGCTGGCGTCGGCCCTCAGGAACGTGAACGGACGAATGGAGATGGCTCTCCCCTCTCCACCTCCTCTTCCTCCTTCTGCTCCTCCTCTTCCTCCTCCTCCTCCTCCTCTTCCTCCTCCTCCTCCTCCTCCGCCTCCTCCTCCTCCTCCTCCCTCATCTCTTTCTCCGAGAACCCCAGGAGGTGGATGATGATGCGGAGGGGGATGAGCATGAGGAGAAAGAGGAGGAGGGAGAGGATGAGGATGAGGAGGAGGAGGAAGAGGAGGAGGAGGCGGAGGAGGAGGAGGAGGACGAAGAGAAGGAGGAGGAGGAGAAGGAGGATGAGGAAGAGGAGGATGGGGAGGAGGAGGACGAGAAGGAAGAGGAGGAGGATGAGGAAAAGGAAGAGGAGGAGGACGAGGAGGAGGAGGAGGAGGACGGGAGGAAGAGGAGGAGGAGGAGCAGGTGGAGGAGGAGGAGGAGGTGGACGAGGAAGAGGAGCATGAGGAGGAGGATGAGGAGGAAGAAGAGGAGGAAGAGGAGGAGGATGAGGCGGAGCAGCAGGAGCAGGATGCTGCTGCTGCGGCTGCTGCTGCTGATGATGCTGCTGCTGATAATGATGATGATGATGATGGTGATGGTGATGGTGATTGTGATGGTGATGATGATGCTGATGATGATGGTGATGATGATGAGGATGAGGATGAGGATGATGATGAGGATGAGGATGAGGATGATGATGATGCTGATGATGATGCTGATGCTGATTATGATGATGGTGATGACGATGATGATGATGGTGGTGGTGATGATGACGATGCTGATGCTGATGCTGATGATGATGATGATGGTGGTGGTGCTGATGATGATGATGATGATGATAATGATGATGATGCTGCTGCTGTTGATGATGACGATGCTGCTGCCGATGATGATGATGATGATGATGATGATGATGATGATGATGATGATGATGATGATGATGATGATGATGATGATGATGATGATGATGATGCTGATGATGCTGATGATGCTGATGATGATGATGAGGAGGCGGAGAAGGCGGAGGAGGAGGAGGAGGAGGAGGAGGAGGAGGAGGAGGAGGAGGAGGAGGAGGAGGGGGAGGATGATGCGGAGAGGACCTGGCATTCCTCTTGGCACGGGATACTGGGTGCTGGCACTGCTAGTCCAGGCGGCACGCAGCCTCTCGATGGCCAGCGGCGCCCACTCCTCGGGGAGGTGGTAGTGCGCAGGCCGGGGCGGTGGATGGTGGACGGCTGGGGGCGTGGGGGCACAGGGAGGTGGGGGCGGAGGAGCGAATGGACGGAGGGAGGGAGCGAGGGAGGCTCTACTCTGTTTTCGCGGAGCAGGCCACGGACACGGGTCAGCGACCCACGGCGCGCACAGACCCGCTTTGCCACTGCCGGGAGGAGGAGGGGGGACGGGATGGACGAGTTTTGAGCAGTCAGCGTGAGGATGGCGTGGCACGTCGACGAACACATGTCGCGCTTGACGGTGGTCGTGCCACCAGGCATGATGTGCTCGAGGGTCGGAGTTGTGAACCTGAGTGTATGGATGGCGGCACGGGGGGGGGCTTCCGGTACTGTGTGCCAGGATTGTTGTCAGGAGCTTTGATGTGGAGAGGAGAAGGAGGCGGGGCATGATGAACACGAGCAGGACTGCTGCTGGCGACGACGACCACGATGATGATGGTGGTGGTGATGGCTGGTAGTGGTGGTGGTGATGGTGATGATGGCTGGTAGCGGTAATGATGCTGGCGATGCTGATGCTGATGTTCACACTGAGATGCGTAATGAAGAAGGGTGACGGGTATGGAGGCCAGGCGGGTCGGGGGGGATCTGGAACAGAGGGGTGATGTTTAGGGTGGGGTGGGGTGTTGGGTGGCTGGGAAGCAATGATGGGGAGCATGCTGATGATGATGATGCTGATGACGATGATGATGCTGCTGCTGCTGATGATGATGCTGATTGTGATGATGCTACTGTGGCTGATGATGCTGATGATGCTGACGAAGACAATGCTGATGCTGATGCCGATGATGATGAGGAGAAGTAGGAGGAAGAGGATAATAAGGTTGATGACAGGACGGGGCTGAGGAGGAGGAGGAGGACTACGACAACGTTTCGACTTGCCCACGCCCCTGACCACGCGACTCCCGAGAGCCCAAGGACGCCTCCGATCACCCGAACATCTCGAATCTCGGTCGGCGACGACGTCGATGCGACGACGACGACGAGGACGACGACGACGACGACGACGAGCGATGCACCAGTTCTGCAGCCCGCTGTGAGCTCGTTCCCCGTGCCACCGCCGCCTCCCGAGGTAACCATGCTTTCCGCATCTACTACCATTATGCAGCCATCCGATTCCACTGCAGCAGATCCGCGCGGGGCTGTGCGCCTTCGACCGCCGACGACCGCGTCAGGCCGTGCGGGGGCGGCGTCCGCTTGCTTCTCCCCCTGATCCTGTCGCCTGGACCTGCAGCGCCAGAACCCAACCTACCGTGTCAGACGGATTGTTAGCTCCCTTCCGTCGCCTCCTCCTCCTTCTCCTCTTTTTCCTCCTCCTTCTCCTCTTGCTCTTGGCTAGGCCTCTTCTTCCTCCTCTTCTTCTTCCTCCTCCTTTGTCGCCTCCGCCTCCTCCTCTTCCTCCTCGTCCTCCTCCTCCTCCTCCTCCTCCCGCACCCGCCTGCTCCCGCTGTGGGGGTGCTGCTGCTGGTCCTCCTCGCCCCCTTCCTCCCCCCCCCCCCGCCTTCCCGTCCTCCCCGCCCCCGGCCCTCTGGGCAGCACCCGGTGTCCTGTCTGGCCCCCTGGGCAGCACCCGATGTCCTGTCGGGGGCGCCGCCACGCCCGCGGCTGGAACCCGAGCATGAGCAAGAGCAGGATGAGAAGGCGGAGCACGAGAGTGAGAGGGCAGGATGACGGAAGAAAGGGAGGTGTAGGTGCATGGTGATGGTGATAATGATGGTGATGTCGGTGATGATGATGATGATGATGATGATGATGATGATGATGATGATGATGATGATGCTGATGCTGATGCTGATGCTGATGATGATGATGATGATGATGATAATGATGATGGTGATGCTGATGATGATGATGATGATGATGATGAGGATGACGGTGATGATAATGATGGTGATGATGATGCTGATGAATGTGATGCTGGTGATGATTCTGATGATGGTGATGATGATGATGATGTTGATGATGATGATGATGATGATGATGATGTCGATGATGAGGCTGGTGATGATGGAGATGACGATGACGATGACGATGGCGATGATGCTGATGCTGCTGATGGTGTTGTTGCTGATGCTGATGTCAATGATTATGATGCCGATGATGGTGATGATCATGGTTATGATCATGATGATGATGCTGCTGCTCATGCTGATGATGCTGATGATGATGCTGATGATGATGGTGGTGACGCTGATGATGGTAATGGTGATGGTGATGGTGGTGGTGGTGGTGATTGTGATGATGGTGTTTATAATGATGCTGCTGCTGATGATAATTATGACGATGATGATGATGATGATGATGATGATGATGATGGTGATGATGATGATGATGATGATGATGATGATGATGCTGGTGATAATCCTGATGCTGCTGATGATGTGAATGATGCTGACCATGATCACGACGATGATGATGACGATGATGACGACGACGATAAACATCTGATGTTTGCGGTGATTGGAATGATGATGGTGCATCTATGCTGATGATGATGATGCTGTTGCCGATTATGATGGTCATGCTGATGATGATGATGCTGCTGACGATGATGGTGGTGGTGGTGATGATGATGATGGTGATGAGGCTGATGATGATGCTGATGATGGTGATGTTAATGATGGTGACGATGATCATGAAGATGATGATAATGCTGATGACGACGATGATGATGATGATGCTGCTAATGATGATGACGATGATGATGATGATGATGATGATGATGATGATGATGATGATGATGGTGATGGTGATGTTGCTGATGATGATGCTGATGATCATGCAGACGCTGCTGCTGATGATGATGATGTTAATGTTGGTGACGATGATCATGACGATGATGATGACGATGATGACGACGACGACGATAAACATATGATGTTTGTGGTGTATTGGACCGATGATGGTGCATCTGATGATGCTGCTGATGATGATGATGATGCTGATGCTGATTATGATGATTATGCTGATGATGATGCTGCTCATGATGATGATGATGATGGTGGTGGTGGTGGTGATGATGCTGAAGATGATGATGATGATGATGATGATTGATGATGATGATGACGATAGTGATGACGATTCTGATGATGATGATGATGATGACGATAGTGATGACGATGATGATGATGATGATGATGATGATGATGCTGATGATGATGATGATGGTACTGATGATGATGACGATAGTGATGACGATGATGATGATGATGCTGATGATGCTGATGATGCTGATGATGATGATGGTGATGATGATGGTGATGATGATGATGATGCTGATGCTGATGCTGATGCTGATGCTGATGACGATGATGACGATGATGATGATGATGAAGATGATGATGATGATGATGATGATGATGAGATGATGATGATGATGATGATGATGATGATGATGATGATGATGATGATGATTATGCTGCTGATGATGATGATGATGATGATGATGATGATGATGATGATGATGATGATGATGATGATGATGATGATGAT